TATAAATATCATTAATTTAGTTAACATGGGAAGAGATGGGGAAAACACAAGAAATAGCCTTTTAGCACAGAGGGCATGCTCACTAGTGTTTAGTAAGCTGTTGACTTTGTATAAAAAAGGAGGAAAAAAATAGAAAAAAGAAAAAACGAAAAAATGAAATTGTATATTTAATGAATGAACATGTACAATTTAACACTTGGAGGTTAATTTTGTTGGGTGAGTCTGCAAGTGAATTTCACTGATGTTGATATTCATTGTGTGTAGTTTTATTTCAGTCCCCAGACTGCTTCCTTTTATTTTGGAGCTAATGCCAGCCGCGTGTCTAGTTTTGAGTGCAGTAAAGATAGAATCAGCAATTCACACTTTAATTTTACATTCTTTTCCAGTATTTTATTTTGTTTCTGTAGCCGCAGTGTACAACAACTCTTCCTGTATATTGCCTTTTTTTGCTGGAAAATGTTGTATGTTGAATAAAATTTTCTATAAAATTTTTTTCGGTGAGTGATGACATGGACATTGAAGAAGATTTCTCCTTTCCTTGGAACTAGTTTTGGGAAATGTTTTCATTCGTGAGGTTTTGCTAAACTTGTGTTTTTTTTCTTAAGTGTTGACAATTGTATAACCCTCGTATTGGTTGTTTTGGGGAAAATTTGTGGGGTTTTCTGTTTAATTGTTTGGGGTTTTGGAGGTTTTTTTGGGTTTTGTTTTTTTACCTCCTAACTAGTCACATTTGAGCTTAACAAATAAAAGCTTTTCCAGGAAGGAGCCGTGTACAAATAAGACAAATGGAAAAATTATTTTACTAGTTTGTTTGTAAAGCTTGTAGTAGAGTCTTTGTGGTAGATTTGACTCTGCCTGTACAAAATTTTTGTGGTCCAGATTCTCAAGTCTAATATTATAAATGGTGTAAAGTGAAATCTGGAGTCTCTAAAGGTAAGCTCTCTTAATAGAGTAATAGATTCCTGCCGTAATGTGTTCCCTGTATTCATAACCAAAACAAAAGTGCTTAGAAGCTTCCCTTTCTCAGACCTATCAATAAACATTTAGTAGGGGTTGCGTATATGTGATGGCCTTTATACTGTTTTATGAAATGGATTCTGGTGATTACTGAAAACACCAGCAAGTATTTTAAAATTAAATTTTAAGATCTATTTCACTCTTTAAAATGAATTAATTGCTCAAGTTTTAGGCATGTTTGGATTTCTTTTTAATTTATATCTTGCAGTGCTTTTAACTGTCTCTTATTTCCAAACAAGGCAAACCAGTTGTTTACTTTTTTTTTTTTTCTTTTGATCATAGAGTGCATAGGTTACAGGTAGAGGGAGATGCTTAAATGGCATGCCTTAAGTGGATAAAGGTTTCCTTTGATTTGTATTTGCATTGAACTGGTGAGAATTACACCACCATCCAGGTGGTGTTTTTACTAGTACTTGGGTTGTCTCTACAGGCTTTTTGTCAGGATTTGTATTCAAAATTTTTCTGTAAAATCAGAGACTCTGGTCAGCAGCAGTAAGCCCTAATTATATTTTGTGAATTTAATGTTGTGGTAGACTTGATATAAAATTGACCTTGTATCTGAATGTCACTAAGTTTTCACATTAATTTATGCGATGTTGTCAGCTTTTAGGAAATACCTTAAGAAATCACCATGCTTTCTATTTCAGAAGAAAATTATGCTAACCAAGTAAATTTTGGGTGCCTTTTGATTTTTAGATGATTGGTTTTTACTGGTTTTGCTTCAGTATTTGTGGTATTCCCACGCTAGTTTTGAAAAGATGATACATTAAGGCATTCCATATGCAGTTTTCAATAATTAAAGTTTTTTATGAAATTTTTTTTTGGAGCACAAGTAACTTGTTTCTCAAATGTGGAAACATACACCTATGAAGAGAAGAGGAGTACAGGAGGTTTTCTCAGGTGCAGTATGTTTAGTTCATTCTAAAAAATTTTAAAGAATAGAGTCTTCAAAATCACCATGCTTTCCATTTCTTATTCAAATTTTGGAATTATCTGGATAATAAACAGTGAATGCATTAAATTAAGTTAATGATAATATAAGTGTTAAGCAATAAGGATGTAATTTCATGGTACAGAGCATCAAGGCAACATGATGTTAATGGCCCATTTGAATTCTCCCTACGAAAATAGCAAGCGTTGTTCCTGTAGATTTACATAGTGCCTTTTATCCTAAAGGAGTCCAAAGCATTCTGTGAAATCTAAGCAAATCACACCAGTGACATAGTTGCTGACTAGAGAGTGACAGCCAACAAAAACACCCTTTATACAAGAAGGCTTGCTTAGCAACACCAGGACAAATGCAAGACGCGTCGGAGGGCTCGGGCCGATGTCGTGCCGCAGGACGTGCCGAGCGTGCAGTGCCTCCCGCGTACTGGATCTACCTCAGCGCCTGCCCCTCCGGAGCTGGCACCCAGCACCCCGCCCCGGCACCCGCCGGCCCTCGGACCAGCCTGTCCCGCGGGCTCTGGGCTGCCTGCACGCGGCAGTGCCCAGATCTAAGCTACGCCGTGTTTTTGCTATTTAATATCCTTTGTGAGAAATCGTTTTCTGTAGGAACTGTATATATTGTAAATAAAATAGACTAGGATAAACGCTGGATCGGTGTCTTGTCGGTTCATTTTAGAAAAGATTGGGAGCGGAAGCTAATGGGTCGCTCAGAAGTCAGCATGATTTTGGTTAGATCAAAGAGATAAATGTGACAAAATTCAGCCAAATTGTGTGTCGAGAGTGACATCCATAGCATAGGAAGATCTGGCCAGAAGGTAAATGCAGACTTCTGTGGCAATTTCCAGGTTTTGAACTCTTGTTTTTTCTGAGACAAACTAAACAAGCATTTGGATATTGAGGTGTAGTAAGTGCCAGTGTTTGGTGTGAAGTGGTGTGGTGTCACTTCTACACCAGCCTGGTCTTTAGGGGCAGGAAAAGGGGCAAATGTTCACTTGTAATATGCCTGAATCTGGCTTCAGATCTGTGTTCAACTTCATTTCTGTCCCGGGTGATGTTGAAGTTAGATGTGTACCAAGCGCAGCAGGAAATTAAATTTGCTAAGCCTCAGGCTGTAGCTGGAATCCTTTATTTTTCATGAAAAACGTGTGTATTGTGCCTCCAAACACTGGTGTAAAAATGCTCTAACTACTTCTGTTAAATGTCTCCTACACATCTTAAATAATTTCTTTGTTATGTACATATTCATGTGGTTTTGGTTTTTGCACCTTTCTTCGTAAATGTTACCAGCTTGATGCATTATTTACCACCGCTTAACAGCAAAGCTTGCTCTTTCACAGCCAGATTTTAAAATGGAGAAAAATCTCAACATTTAAAAAAAATACATGAAAGAGCATGAGACCTGTTGGGCTGACATTTATGCGGCTGCTTGTGTATTTAATTGTTTTGCTATTATTTTCCATTTGGTCAAAGAAGGTCGGGACACCAGTGGATGGAGAGTTACTGACCTGGGTACCGAGTGGAAGTCGGGGCAGCTGCTCTGGGAGTTGCATTTGTTGCACCGGGGGGCTGAGAGAGGCTTTTGGGGGTGGGCTCGGGGCTTCATGCAGGGCACTGGAGGCATCGGAAAAGCTCCGTTATAGAAATGCCTCACTTGAGAAACTGCACTACCCACCCCTCTTAGAGGTTGGGAGTTTCTACACCTATAAAATGTAAAAATACTTCAAAAATGGGCAGTTTCTTTTCAGGTGGTTTGCTTTGGCCACCCGCCGCGCCCAGGCCCTGAGGAAGGCCGGGTTTGTTAACGGGATCCTGCTGACACCAGGTCCTGTTCCAGGCTCAGGGATGCTGATCAGCATCAAGTCGGGCCTTACAGCCGGAGATGCGTGGGGCGCTGCAGCACGCTGCCCTGGCTCGAAAAACCGAGTTTCTGCTTGGTTACGAGCAAGAGTTTTCTTCAACAGCCTCTCGGGTTTGCTGTTCTCTTCGGCGGTGGGCTCTGCCAGGCTCAACGGCCAGCTGACTCCAGCACAAGCTCTGTGCCTTGGTTTGATTTGCCTCGAAAAGAGCTGCTTGACGGTTTTCACTCACGTTTTTCCCACGTCTCGCAGTCGAAAGCCTTGCTGAAGAAGCAGGCCCCGCGCAGGCCTGCCCGGGCTTCGCTGAGGCTCCTGATGCCGCTGGGCGCTGGGGCAGGCCGCGGCGGGAGCGCGCCCCGGGCCCCGCCAGGGG